TATATCGGGGTCACTATAAATGGGGGTCCCTCTGTATATCGGGGTCACTATAAATGGGGGTCCCTCTGTATATTGGGGTCACTATAAATGGGGGTCCCTCTGTATATCGGGGTCACTATAAATGGGGGTCCCTCTGTATATCGGGGTCACTATAAATGGGGGTCCCTCTGTATATCGGGGTCACTATAAATGGGGGTCCCTCTATATTTTGGAACTAGAATAAAGATGTCACCAGCAGGAGAGTTCCATGTCGGTGCAATTTTGTTGATAAATGTCACTCAAATTTTGGGGCGCACGGGTCCCCTTCATCAGGCTCAGAGATGATTGGGGTGCCCTCTGCAGTCACTACCAGCACCCCTTAACTTTGGGTTATCTGGTAAGGAGTGCGGCAAGATATTTGGACACCCCTCTATATATTGGGGTCTCTATATACACTGGATTCACTATAAATGGGGGGCTATAAAGGTGAGGGGTCTCTCTCCTCTCTGTACATAGTTTGGGGGTCTCTCTCCTCTCTGTATATAGTTTGGGGGTCTCTCTCCTCTCTGTATATAGTTTGGGGGTCTCTGTCCTCTCTGTATATAGTTTGGGGGGTCTTCCTCCTCTCTGTACATAGTTTGGGGGTCTCTCTCCTCTCTGTACACATATTGGGGGTCTCTGTCCTCTCTGTATATAGTTTGGGGGGTCTTCCTCCTCTCTGTACATAGTTTGGGGGTCTCTCTCCTCTCTGTACATAGTTTGAGGGTCTCTCTCCTCTCTGTACATAGTCTGGGGGTCTCTCTCCTCTCTGTACATAGTTTGGGGGTCTCTCTCCTCTCTGTACATAGTTTGGGGGTCTCTCTCCTCTCTGTACATAGTTTGAGGGTCTCTCTCCTCTCTGTACATAGTCTGGGGGGTCTCTCTCCTTTCTGTACACATATTGGGGGTCTCTCTCCTCTCTGTACATAGTTTGGGGGTCTCTCTCCTCTTTGTACATAGTTTGGGGGGTCTCTGTCCTCTCTGTACACATATTGGGACTCTCTCCTTTCTGTACATAGTTTGGGGGTCTCTCTCCTCTCTGTACATAGTCTGGGGGGTCTCTCTCCTTTCTGTACACATATTGGGGGTCTCTCTCCTCTCTGTACATAGTTTGGGGGTCTCTCTCCTCTTTGTACATAGTTTGGGGGGTCTCTGTCCTCTCTGTACACATATTGGGACTCTCTCCTTTCTGTACATAGTTTGGGGGTCTCTCTCCTCTCTGTACATAGTCTGGGGGGTCTCTCTCCTTTCTGTACACACATATGCACAGATTGGGGTCTCTCCTCCCCTCTCCAGTAATTGGTGGGCGGAGGGCCCCCTGTGGCCCCTGCACTGGGCAGCTGTGAGGAGGAGTATCGGGACTCATTCCTCCTCGGACCTCCGATCTCTGCAGATGTGATCAGAGCCCCTGGAGGGGCAGGATGGCGCTGAGCACCCGGGCCCGATCCTTCTCTGTGGAGGCCCTGGTGGGGAAAAGGAAACTGGAGGAGCCAGGGGCCACAGTGGACAAGAAAGGGGCCACGCAGCAACTGAGGAACCCCGGGACTGAGGAGGAGCCGGGTTAGTGAGAGGAATACAATGTCACCTCGACTACAAATTATATGATCCCCCCCCAGATTTCTAATAGAAGGGCCCCCCACTCTCTATAACAATCGTTGTGTCCCCGCAGAAAAGAGATCCAAATCGGCGGCGCCCCTTTCCCCGGCCTGCCCGGCGCCCCCCCATGTCCAGGTGGATCTGCAAGGGGGGGATCTATGGAGGAGATTTCATGAGATCGGAACCGAGATGATCATCACCAAGGCGGGCAGGTAACCTATTGTGCGATGCTCCGTTCATTGTCGGGTCATCCAGAAATGTACCGCCCGTTATATGCGGTCTGTGCCAAGCGCGGTATATACCGTCCGTTATAAGCAATCCATAAACAAGTGCTGTATATACCGTGCGTTATATGCAATCCATAAACAAGTGCTGTATATATCGTCCGTTATATGCAATCCATAAACAAGTGCTGTAGATACCGTGCGTTATATGCAATCCATACACAAGTGCTGTATATACCGTGCGTTATATGCAATCCATACACAAGTGATATAGATACCGTGCGTTATATGCAATCCATACACAAGTGATGTAGATACCGTGCGTTATATGCAATCCATAAACAAGTGCTGTATATACCGTGCGTTATAAGCAATCTATAAACAAGTCCATAAAATCCCAGCAGCTCCCCAGTATATATATATATACCCCGGACTGTGTAGCCGGTCTATGGGGCTCCGGCTCTTCTGATACATTATCTGGGTTCATGTTTGGCCGGGTTTTTGGGATCTTTTTGGTGCAGAAATTACATTTTGCGGATCTTTAGGTGATGAGATTTATAGTTTCAGCTTTTATCCAGAAAAGAGAAGACAAAACTCCATGTAGATCCCTCATATTCCTGTATACTGTCTGTAATAATATATATATATATATAGTGTCATCTAATCCGAGAAGTCCGGGCTGACACCATCGTAGAATTCCTCCTGTATATAATGTACAGCGATCTATAATATCCCCATACACAATCTTCTATAATCCTCCGATATATTATACATACAGGTTTCCTTTACAGTTATTTATAACATACAACGATCTATAATATCCGCATGTGGTATATACAATCTTCCCGTACATTATGTGTGACCGCGGTATATATTATATATACTTCGGGGCTCCAGCCGGTAATTCAACAATTTCCTCTCCGACAAACATCTCTGTTTATTCTGCCGGAGAAACAAACATCACCCCGACAATGTCATCCCTACACCCCGACAATGTCATCCCTACACCCCGACATCGCGCCAATAATGTCATCCCTACACCCCGACATCACCCCGACAATGTCATCCCTACACCCCGACAATGTCATCCCTACACCCCGACAATGTCATCCCTACACCCCGACAATGTCATCCCTACACCCCGACATCGCGCCAATAATGTCATCCCTACACCCCGACATCACCCCGACATCACCCCGACAATGTCATCCCTACACCCCGACATCACCCTAATAATGTCATCCCTACACCCCGACATCACCCCGACAATGTCATCCCTACATCCCGACAGTGTCATCCCTACACCCCGACATCACCCCGACAATGTCATCCCTACACCCCGACAATGTCATCCCTACACCCCGACATCACGCCAATAATGTCATCCCTACACCCCGACATCACCCCGATCCCGATATCAACATACATTTCCCCGGAAAGTACCCCGATCTCTCTGATTGGGGGGATTATATTCGTACAATGTCTCCTCTCTGATATATAACATTTCGGGGATTCGTTTTATTCGCCCGGACACACGATGTTTCCTCATCATATCATCTCCGACCAACAAGAAGAGAGATAACCCCGAAATATCTTCTGTCCGAGCGAATAAATATCACAGCATCCAAAATCAGATCCATTCCCCAAATACACTTCACAGAAACTCCGGATTATAAGAGTACAATGTGACGTCATTACTGAGAGCAAATCAATAGGACCCCAAATCATATGACAGATGACGTCATCGCCCAATATTATAATATATCTGTACTATGACATCACAACATTCAGGATTATAGGATCTGTAGAGGATTCTGTATACAATGTACACATGTGGATGGGGAGCCGTATAGTCCTGTGCACAAAATATTGCTTCCGGCCTGAAGAAGGGGGGGCCGCTCCCCAAATCTGGTCTTTTAAATGTAATGTTAGTCCAATAAGAAAGCTATCGATGTATACTGATATACTCCGAGTATAT